AAAACAGTCAGAAAAAAATAATACACGAACCTAAAAATTAGGATAATGCAGCTGAAGTTGCCTTCGCTTTGATCAGTGTCCAAGCCTGTGTCTCCCTCTCACCCCCAGAAGTCTTTGTTGGTCTGTCCCCCTCCAGACCTCGTCTCATGCTTTTATATGAAGTCCACGTATTCATAGGAAAAACACTAGCATTTTGTGGCAGTGTTTTTACGTAAATGGTGTGTTTTGGGTATGTGGTGTTCTGAAATTTGCCTCTGCTCTCAGCTCTTTGAGATCTAATAATGTTGTCCAGGGCACTCCTATCTTCTGGGTTGGATTCCACTGCATAGAATGTGTCTCGTTCATCCCCAGATGGACATTTAAGTTGTTTCTACTAGTTTTTTTTTATTACAGAGGGGGCTGCAGTAGCATCCTTGCACACGTCTCCCCGGGCCCCTTGCAACGCTTTCCACAGGCTCTATTCTCAGAATTGTTCTTGCTGGGTTTGGAACTACGTTGCCACCAAACATGGCCACACTAGTGGCCTTCCTCCAGAGACTTTCCTTCTTCTCCAGTACCTAATGTTGTCAGCATTTTCAACTTTTGCTAGTATGATAGGTGTGAAGGCGATAGCATTGTTTTAATTTCATTTCTCTGACTATTACTGAACACTTTTTGTGGTTTTTATTGGTCACTGACATTTCCTGTCCATTCATTTCCTTTGCCTGTTGGGTTTTTTCTCTTTCCCTAGAATTCAATTGTTGGTCTACTGTATGTGTTGGAAATATTTTCTCCACTTATTTAAAAAAAATTTTAAGGTGGGGAGGGTATAGCTCAGTGGTAGAGCGCATGCCCAGCATGCATGAGGTCCTGGGTTCAATCCCCAGCACCTCCATCAAAATTAATAAATTAAAAAAATTTTAAGGTACTTTTGACAGAGAACTTTTTACATGTTTTTACTGAAGTATAGTTTATTTACAATGTTGAATTAGTTTCAGGTGTACAGCAAAATGATTCAGCTATACATACATATACACATATATTCTTTTTCAAATTTTTTCCATTATAGGTTATTACAGGATATTGAATATAGCTCCCTGTGCTCCACAATAGGACCTTGTTGTTTATCTATTTTATATACAGTAGTGTGTATCTGCAAATCCTAAACTCCTAATTTATTCCTCCTTCCCCCTTTCCCCTTTGGTAACCATAGTTTTGTTTTCTATGTTTCTATGAGTCTATTTCTGTTTTGTAGATAAGTTCATTTGTATCATTTTTTTCAATTCCACAGGTAAGTGATATAATATTTGTCTTTTTATGTGACAATTTTAAATTTTGATGTGGTCAAGTATGTCAGTGTTTTTCTTTTCTGACTTCTATCTACATTTAAAAATTTTTTAATTTATTTATTTTTGGGGTAATTAGGTTTGTTTATTTA